AGGATTGTCCGTTGTTGCAGGAGTTCCTCTTATCCAGTTTTCAGTTCTGTCTCAGGGGTAATTTTTCCACGAGTAGTTGTAAATTGGCTGTGTCCATGGGAGGAGGTGAGTTCAGAGTCTGCCTACGCCGCCATCTTGACTTCTCTCCTATTTAACTCTTTAATTCATTCAAGTACCTATAGATTTTAATCGTCAATTGCAATTCCTTAAACTAGGAATTTCAGTTGTTAATTTCCTGTCTGTCTTCCCTATTATATTGGAAGTTCCTTGAGGTAATAAGCATTTATTTCTCAGCTTTGTATTTTAGATCTCTACCAGGGGCTCTGCACATTGTTTTCACTATATAAATACTTGAACAATGTCTACATTAAAACAATTGGACCACCCATGTATTACCCTTACCTTTTAAAGTTCTTTGAGTCCAAGACCTGAGTTTGTAACTTTTTTTTGGATTTTGCCTGCTTCAGTCCAAAGTCATCACTATTTACTGTGAATTTGTTCACGAAACCACCATCATCCCCCAAGAGGATGTCGTCCCGGCAGAGCTGGTCTTGCAGAGGCACTACACACACACAGAGGAGGCAGTGATCCATGGGCTTTATGACAAAATAGTTTTCCTAGAAACAGAAGAATGCTTTTATTATTTTTTAAACTTTTTTTTTTTTTTGGTGAGGAAGCTTGGCCATGAGCTAACATCCGTTGCCAATCTTCCTCTTTTTGATGAGGAAGATTGGCCCTGAGCTAACATCTGTGCCCATCTTCCTCTATTTTGTATATGGGATGCCTCCACAGCATGGCTTGATGAGTGGTGCAGCGGTCCATGCCCAGGATCCAAACCTGCGAATCCCGGGCCGCCGAAGCGGAGCATGCACACTTAACCATTATGCCACTGGGCTGGCCCCCCAGAAGAATGTTTTTAATAAGTTATTCCATTGCTCTAAATATCTTAATATTACATTTAAATATTGCCCCTATTATTTGATGAAAGTTTTACTCTCTGATGTTTCTCATTTTAGATACTTCTACAGTGTTAAAGGAACTTGGAAAAAAAAACAAAATTAACCAAGTAAAAGTGAATGAACATTCACTGCGAGCCCACCATTGTGGTTTGGGTGCTTTGTGGGGAAAGGGTGGGGTACCTACCTCTGGCTCAACAAGTAATGAGATTTTCTGGTGTATTCCTGTGAATGTCCCTCGCTTGGATTTGTAAGGCGATATTAACAGGCAGCATAAAAAGGTTCAGGTCTTCCCAGACCAATGACATAAAACTGGATGTTAAACAGGAAAATCAAGTATTAAAGTCCCCATTGTTTCACAAGGAGTTATCAGGAGAAAAATATCCTGACATCCAAGTTTATCCGGAAATACTCAGCAAGCATTTGTCAAGCTGACTCTGCACTACTGAACTGGGTTCACTAAAGCTGTATAGCCGTTCCCCTCCTGGAACCCAGTTTCTATCTAAGATAGAGGAAAAAAATATTTAAAAAACTGTTTATTTGTTTTGTTTCCTTTAAAATGAGTGAGACTTGAACATATTTAGAGGTTCATTCAGTCATTCAGCAGATATTTATTGAGCACCTATGGTGTTACCTATTCTTGGCACGGGCCATGTGGTGATGAACAAGACAAGTGTATGACTTTGTGGAATTATCATTCCAGTGGAGGAAGATGGATGAATAAAACAGATAATTTCAGATAATGAGAAGTGCTCTTAAAGAATTAATCCAGAGTCCTGTGATGAAGAGTGACTGAAGAGACCACTTGAGGTCCCATGGGCAGGGAAGGTGACCTTGGATCTGGGACCGATGGGGTGGAGAGGAAGATTCAGAGGAGGTTGAGAAGAAGGATCCTAGAAGGAGAGATTCATGTCAAAAAGATAGAGAGAGAAGGGGCTGTGGAGCCTTGTCCTGGATGAGGCAGGAGGTGATGGAGGTGCTCAAACACAAGGATATTTTGTCTTCAGAGAGAGGAAGTAAGAAAGGAAGGAAGTAGAAGTATACTCCTAGTTAAAGCTGCAGGTGAGAGGGCTGAGATTGGAAAGAGGACAAGCCTTATCGACTCAGTTTTCTCAAGAAAGTAGGGGCAAGTTCATCTGCTGAGCGGCAGAAGGCCTGAGAAGAAGAAGGGAATTTTGGAATACTTGCCAGGCATGGGAAAGTGAGGCAGCAAGTACAAGAAAGAGACTGATGGAAGCCAGTGAGCGTTCAGGTGAGTCTGCAGACCCTGAATTTGTAGTGATGCTGAATGGCGTGGCTTTGTGTCTTTCTCCAGCAGTGCTTGCCACTGCGCAGGAGCAGAGAAAAGCTATAGCATCTATACAGGCTGGAGTTTTGAAGGACAGCTATCTAAGAGAATGGAGGGTAAGGATGACTTCAGTCGAGATGATCCATCCAGGGGGTACAGGTGGGAAGTGAAAGAGAGAAGAGGGAGGGGACTGGAGAGTGCAAGGAGACACTTTCAAGGAACTGGAGGCTTCTATGGGCCTGAAAAGCAAGAGTGAAAACAGGAGAGAGCTGGAAGGAGAGGTTGCAATCAACCATACGACATGAGACAGTGACCCATTACGTAAAGTACATTTAGCAACCAGCCGCCTTCTTTAAAACCATCCTGGCATCACTAGTTGCTTACAACATTGTGGACAAGCATGAGAAATTTAGTTTTTCACTGACACTGGAGACAAGCAAGGCACAGAGGGAGGTGAATTATTTCTTAATCCTCTGTGTCCTTCAAAGTCAGCCTGCCTCCTGAGGCCATGTTTTTATAATCCCAGTGCTCAGTGATCTCATCTCTCCCTCAGCCCCTAGTGCACATGTTCTTTTTTACTGTATAATTTGCTGGACCATTATATGATATATTATGTTTATTCATGAGATCCTTCGAGACTGAGTTTTGTTTGAATGCAAGGAACATGTTCATTACTTCTGTATGTCTGCAAATAAATACGTTAATAAATAAATAAATGTCTGCAAAATGCTCAATAAATATTGTAAATTGGTTAAGTGGTCACATCTCAGCTACTGAAGAGATTAACGTTAACATCTGCCCCATTAGATTTTTTCCCAGAATTAAGCATTTGTTTTTGGTAATTTTCTTACCAAATGAAGCTGGACCGGAGAAAAAGGCTTTGAACTTGACAACATGAGCATAATCGGAAAGATAATACTTGGATTCAGAGAAGGGTATAAAAGAAGAAAGGAATTAGCCTCTCTCTCTCAAAAACAAAACAAAAAACAAATACCCCCAAATTAAACACAGGCTAAATGGAAAGAACGTCCTCTTTTAATTAGACTCACAGAATATTAATACTGGACTTCATTATTTAGTTAAACTGCCTCATTTTATATATGAGGAAACTGATGTTCAATAGAGAAAGTGGATTGCTCATATCCTACGAGTATGGAACAGACAATCTCATTTCTTTGAGTATTTCTCTTGGCACAGTACCTGGCTGCTCCCTTGAGCTTTATAATCCCAGACAATAATGGTCCTTTCTGTAGTGGCGACAATGCGTTTCAGCTGGGAGAGGTAGTCACATCCTGTAATCCAGGAGGTATCCTGATAGAAAAGCATAGAATGGGGGGCGGGGGGGCAGTAAGATTGTGTTTTGTTCTATCACACGGTGATGGTTACTAAACTGTAGCTTAGTTACGTTAAACCCCCATTTTGCCCCCTTATTTGCAGAGGAACCTTGCAATGTCTCTTCTCTGATGTTTTGAGGGGGGCTCTCATCTTTTTCCCTTTCACCCTTACCCTGAGCGTCTCAGCACCATCAGCTGGAAAACGATGCAGCCAGTGCCTGGGGCAGCTCCCTGGAAGCCCGGGGCAGCTGGCAGAGCCGTCATCTCTGTGCACTATTCACTCATGTGAGAACACTTCTTCACAGGGAAACTAGATTTAGGGCATTGATTAAGCAAGTTCTCTGACCCTATCTCCATGCATAAAATTATTAGCTAAGGAAAGATCTTAGTGATCATCGGATCAGTGATCAAGTTGAGGCCAATGAGTTTGCCTTGTGTCTTGCCTCAAGTCGCCAAGTTGGCGTGGGTAGGATCTTTCATATCAGCCATCACACACTACTGAACAAGAAGAACAGCTCCCACTTTAGCGCCTACTGTGCCAGAAACTGCTGCTTGGGTTCAGACAGCCCTTGAATCTTCTGTAAAATCCACTAGGAATTCTAATAGAGAGAAACCAGACTCATCTGCTGGGTGGCCTGGCGCCCTCCTTTGTAGTTCAGTGCATTCAGTGCGTGCAAGCTGGGTGGAAAGTCAAGCATTTCCCCATCTCTCATAAAGCCACAGTGGGATTCTGAAAGCAAGTCACCGTAGCTTTACAACATCTGTGCGAGATTACTTGTCCAATTAGTGATATGGCTTAAAAAAATTGCAGTTGCTTTTTTTATGCTGTTTTCAAGTTTAAAATAAAATGTTGTCAAGTTATTCCCTTTGGCTATTTTCTTGTTGTTCTCACAACTTGCTTTGTGTCCATGTTTTACATTCCTCAATGAGGGTGCTCGGAAAAATTTAGGTGAAGCTTTTAAATTGAAGCTTCCAAGGAGTAATCCATTTTCTGGCAATTCTCTGCAATCACTTTAACTCTGGAAGGTAACATCTGTCACCTTTGCTGTTGCTCATGTTTGTTTTGATGCTACTCAATAAACATAAGCTTACAATCTAGGAAAACATCTTATTCTCAGAGCTGATTCCAGCACTTTATTGAGATTGTGATTAGTTATGGAGGAACCATCATCATAGCCCTAAATTTGACTTAATTAGGAATTTTAAAAATGTACTTACAGTAACATTGGTGCTGGTCTGAACTCTCATCTGTAAACAAAGGAAGAGAATAACCAAACCTAGTTGGCACGATATTGAAGACGAGAACGCTGACTCTAAAACAACTCAGTATCTCCCCGTTTAATCTCACTTGTCATTTCGGCCTTCCATGCATCTCCTCCCTGGTTCTCCTTTCCCTGGAAAGCCCAGGCCCGTGGAATAATGCACTGTGTGCTGTGGGCAAGGTTTACGCTTCTGATGTTTGTCTTTAAGCCTGGGGACTGTGCTCTTAGCATCTTACACTTTCCTAATTATTATGTTCCTTCTATTTGCAAACTGCCTCACATCCTTTAGTTATTCAGAGCAACATCTGACCTCAAAAATTGGGAATGCAGGGGCCAGCCTGGTGGTATAGTGGTTAAGTTTGGCACACTCCGCTTCAGTGGCCCAGAGTTCACAGGTTCAGATCCCGGGCACAGACTTACACACCGCTCATTAAGCCATGCTGTGGTGGTGTCCCATGTGCAGAATAGAGGAGGATTGGCACAGATGTTAGTTCAGGGCCAGTCTTCCTCAAGCAAAAAGAGGAAGATTGGCAGCAGATGTTAGCTCACCAAAAAAAAAAAAAAATTGGGAATGCAAAATAATACTAACACCAATGGCAAGAGTAATTAAAAGAATGCTAAATAAGTCCATATGAATTATAGATTGATGTAGGAAAAAAACATTGTTTTATTTGAAAGTTATCGCTCAAGTTATTAAGAGAGCTAAGAACATTCTATCCAGTGGGCTTCCTCTTTTATTCAGTAAGTATCTATTGAATGCATATCATGCCCTGGGTACTATGCAAGTTGAGAATCATAGATTTAGTCCACGCACACCTGGTATGTACATGAGCAGCCTCTTATACATAACCTTAAGACGTGTTAATTGTTCCCAAGGTAAGGGGAGGTAGTCAGGTGTACCAATAACCTGGTTTCTTCGGTATGCTCAGGTGGTCTTGGGAAAAGTCTAGGAAATACCTGCCCAGAAGGAATGCATTATGTGAAAAGGAGGAAAAGTCAATCAGAGAGATCACTCAAACTGTTAGTCGTGGTCATCGCAGACTGTCTTTCATCTGAAGAGCTCAAAAAGGCTTTTCTACCCGAGGACTTTTTTCTAGATGGGAAACAGAAAGTGCTCTGAGGAAACTGGTGAGCAGAGAGCAGAACACCTGTGGTTTCCTCTTCTAGTTCCCTACTTCCATCTTTCATGGAAGTCACATGTTTAAAGTTCTCTTATCATCTTTAAAAGTTTCATAATCCTTATAGGTATCATTTGAATTTTTGAAATCTAGCTTTTTGGGCAGGAATTTTCATTAATAACATTTACAGTCTATATCACCAAGCCCTCCAGAGAGCACCATGAAAATCCTTAACTGTGTTTATTCTACTTCAGATAGAGCCTAAATTATAGATTAACTCATTGTAAGATATGTTGCTTTATTAATGGCTACCTTTTAATAAATTATTCCTGTGACCTACCCTACCAAATTGCTTTTCTCACGGAACGTGTCATCCTATTTGGAAGGCATGCAACATTTAAAATACTGTTTATTCCTGGTGTATCAAATCTTAAAGTAATTAATTTTTAAGCAATCCTTTCTCTACCATTGCATTACCTCATAAGAAGGAGATGTGAGTGTCTGTGTGTTTGTGAGTATACACGTTTGCACCTATAAACATGTGTGAGTGAGCGCGTGTGTGTATGCGTGTGTGACGCTTCTCTGGAAGTACGATAATGCCACCTCAGGATTTTACATAATCCTGAACTATTGTATTATGAGGGTCATTATTTTCCTTCTCACATTTTTCTTTGGATATCATTTTAGTTCTATTTTTGAGGAAATCAAGGCAAAAAATGAGAAGAGAAATAATGCACCGAGAAAAAAAGAGATTGAGGAAGGTTTTCATGTTTAAATGAGGCAAACCCATTTTTGTTTTCACATCATTTGTTCATAATCATAATTGCCAACATCTGCTGAGTGCTTACAATCACACTAAGCACTTTATTTGTATTAATTTATTTAAACAGCACAACTACCTAGGGAGGGAAATTCTTTGGTCCTGGATGAGGAGGGACCAGGGCACGGAGATAAACAAGTAACAGGCACAGCTGGGCGGGGAGGCAAGGCTCTCGCTCGTACCAGGAACCTCCCACTGCACCACCTCACAGCCCACGCGGCCCTCTCCTGTGACAGAGGCTGGCTGCCTGTAATGGAGATGACCAAAGGGCTGAAATTTATTGGCGGAATTTTAATCATGTGATGATTATTTTAAATATATTTTACTTGTACAAAGCTTGCCTCTAGTTGGAAATAAACTAATAATTGGAATTATTTTTTGGTATTTAACACCAAACATTCACCTTTTATTTTCACAGTGAAATATGATGTAGACTGTATCATCATACATTCTGTTAAAATCTCTCATATTTTGGAAACGGAAGTCCAAAACGTACAAATGTAGAAAGAAATGACATTAATAACAGCAATGCCGTCCATGTATACAGGCATTTATTGTTCATAAATGCTTCTACATTCATCATCTCGTTTCACCTTCACTACGGTCTTCTGAGGGAGAGAGCACTGGTCCTGGTGCCCTCATTGTACAGATGTGAAAGAAGAGATAGGAAAAGGTACAAGCTGGCCCATTAATTCCCTATTTATCATAGCTAGTGAAACAGGAGGGCTAGAATTTGAGCCGGTTTTGTACTCTAAGTCTGCAGTTCTTATTGGGACCTTTTATTACTTGGTAGAATTATGACTAAATAACTTGACTTGTGAGTTCTTTTGATTTTATCTGAAAAGTTATCCAGGATCATCCTTTAATCGTGCTGATGCCACATGGTTTCATATGACACCCTGAGGAACGTGGCCAAATGCAGCTACCTAAATCTGAACAATTGCTCTGGGACTCAGAGATCTTCTCATTTTAGTAATATTTGGCTTTATTTGTTGGAATAACTCTGACATGGTTTATGGTTTCTGCAGCACCTGATACGTACACATAATGCATAGATAAAACAAAAGGAAGGAAGGAAGGAAGCAAGGAAGGAAGGAAGCAAGGAAGGAAGGAAGGAAGGGAAGGGAAAGGAAAGAATATAAGCTTTCAAATTACCTGGCTATTAAAGACTGTTATTAATCCTTTCTGAGAAGCTGCTATTAGTAAATCCAACTGAGGGATCTTGACAATGCACTTAATCACATCCCGTCTTCTGCTACCTGTCAACAGCGTAACATTCATTTCAATTTCCAGCAGTGAAGATCCTAAAACTCATTTGTTAGGTTTGTTTTAAAAAGAAAAGAAAAGAAAACAACTTTTTGTTGGAAAGCCCCGAGTTCCTTAAAAAATAGAGTAAAATTGTAAAAAACCAGCAACTGTTGCTTTTTAATTATCTGCAGAGATACTGATCCACACAAATTCCCAGAGAAAATATAAGATACACACCCACTCCCCCTACATATAAATACACACACACAAGCATACACACACGTGTGCACATTTCACAGAGAATGAGTTTTCCAAACATCTTTTGGAATCATTTCTATTTTGAGATTTTCACATCTCTTAGGAATCCTTTCTTTGAACTATCACCATCATGGTTTACACAGAATAAAAAGCTAATACTATCTCAGAATTTCTAGCAGAAAAGAATAAAACTATCTTAATATCTGTTATTAAGGCTTTTTTTTTTTTTAACTTTGTGCATTTTGAAAAAAACACTAGACACATTCATGTTTCCATGCCTACGTACTGAAGGATAGAGCCACATATATGGAACCTCTTCCCAGGGTTATTTAGTTTTTATAATTGTAAACTCTTAGAGAGGAAAAACAGATGTCATACAGTAGTATTATCACCTTCATCCATGCATCCTCAGCAGAGAAAATATTGCTCCCAAGGGGATACAAATTGGTTCTTGGGGGGGTTGTGAATGAGTCTACTCTTTGTGTGTATAAAGCACAGATATACATATAGTGCATAAACAGATACACAGTATATCTGAGGTATTAAAATGTCATGGAGCGAGGGTGGGGGCACAATTAAGAAAAAAAAGTCTAAAAGGCTCCTTAGGGACCCCTGTAGTGAAAAAAATATAATGAAAAATAATTTTGAAAAGGTTAAGAACATTATCCTATTCCAAGCCACGCATTCTCTCTGCTTCCACGCCTTCCTCACCATAGACTATTCTCAACACAGAAGCCAGAACAAGCATTTAAAGTGTAACTCAGACCATGCTTGTCCTCTCGTGGCTCTCTGTCTCGCTCAGAAGTCTTCAGTGTGGCCACAAGGCTCCAGCCCTCTGCCCCCATGCCCACCGCTGCCCCTCTGACCTCATCTTCTACCACTCTCCCCCCACCTACTCTACTCCTGCTGGAGGCGTGTCATTTGCTCTCACATTTTCAGGTCTTTTATCACATTTTCAGCCTGGTCTTCCCTGACCAGTCTGTTTAAAATCTCAACACCATGCTCCCATCTCCAAACCAACCTCTTCTTCCCACTCTCCTGCTTTATTTTTCTCCACAGCCTGCTTACTTTATTTTTTTCTATAGCACTTATTGCTGTCTGACATATTATATATTTTACTTGTTTTATTTTTTTACTGTCTGTCTCTGTTTGTTCACCACAGTGTCCCCAGCACTTAGCAAGTTACCTGGCCCACATAGCAGATCTTAACAAATATTTGTTGAGTGAACAAATGAGTTACACAACCCAACCGCCATCTAGAAAGATGCTTTCATATTTCTAACTTAGGTTGCCAGCAACACATTCCAGCTGCTCACCGGCCCCTCCTCAGCTCAGCGATGGTGGCAGCAGGGGCAGCCCCCTTGCTCTGTTCTTTGATGACAGTTCCCATCGCCAGAGGTTGGGCTCTGGTGAGGTTTATGGTTGGGCTAAGGAAGGGTTGAAGGCAAGGGTGGGCTTTGTTCACAAAGGACTGAAGAAAGTTCAGGTTCTAAGGAACACCCGATTTGCCCTAGATTTCACACTACATCTCTGAATTTGGGATGAAATGCTGGAGGACAGGAGCAGATCAAGGTTTGCTTTTCCTCTTCCCCAACTTCTCCCTCCCTGGAGGCAAGAAAGGAAGGAAAACTAGAGGTGGAGAGGAATGGGAGTTTATGGATCCCAGGCTCAAATTTAAAAACAAATGATCTATGTAAACTGGAGACGTCCTAAACTGAGATAACACCTCCCTGAGACTGGCCCAAATTCACAGTTTTAGAGATGGAGGGTTAAACCTCCATAAGATAATTGAGGATTAGAGTGTAGGAAGGAGTTCTAATTAGTGAAAATTCAATTTTAAGAATATTTTGAAAGAAATGTGACTCCATTGGGTACTAGAGGATGCATTATTGAGGTGCCATTGCAGAGAGCTTTAACTTGAGGTCTGAATCTCTTCAGGAAAATGCAAATGTTTTCGCCCTCACGTTCCCTACTTAATGTCCTTCAGAGCAATGATAATATTTCAAACTCAACTATAGGTACAGTTTCTTCTGATATTGCATATGAAACTGTCACTCTCCCTCCCCGACCCCCATTATAAGGTATTGAGCAAGTAAATAAAATGAAAAGTGATTCTATGGAAATTGTATATTCCCAATATTTATTTTTAAGAAAATATTCAAACCCATATTAATCTGGAAGGGAAAGTTAAAATATTACCTGAAATTATAATTCGCTGTTTCCTAGAAACGAGGAAAACCAAATTTTCTTCATCCATCTGGGAAGTAAGAGAATCTTCAGAGGAGGAGAAGTATCCAAAAATCTAAAATCCCAAACGACACATATAAACACGCACAATATCTCAGAACCGGCTGTAAAGTAACAGATCTGATGTTGGTTGAATCTAAAGTCTAATTTGGATTAATGGTAAACACCTTGCTTTATAAATGTCAGAGGGTTCCCCATAGCAGAGCGCAGCTAAATGTATTTAGCACACCATGTGCCGAGGGTACATGGTTCTTGAGAAGTCACTGGTTTTTCTTTCCAGGCTGGTATCCTTGCTCAGACATAGGTCTATTAGGAGGTGGACTTATTTGGAGACCAAATCAACCTTCATTGGACAGGGTCCCAGCTCAGAACCTTCACATCGAACTTGGCCAGTCTCAAATGACTATTTCTACCTATTTTCCATAAATCTTCCTGGGCAAGATTTTTCATCCCTTTGAGGGGGATATTTGGAATTTAAAAGACTCTGTGGGGGCCAGGCCGGTGGCACAAGCAGTTAAGTGTGCGCGCTCCGCTGCGGCAGCCTGGGGTTCGCCGGCTCGGATCCCGGCGCATACCAACCCACCGCTCGTCAAGCCGTGCTGTGGCAGCGTCCCATATAAAGTGGAAGAAGATAGGCACGGATGGTAGCCCAGGGCCAGTCTTCATCAGCAAAAAAGAGGAGGATTGGCAGACGTCAGCACAGGGCTGAGCTCCTCTCACACACACAAAAAAGACTGTGTGGTTTCTCTACTTAACTATTCCAAATCCTACTCTCTAGGCGTTGCATGAAAATAAATTATTACGAAAAGAAGAAAAGCGCTCTTTGTTTGTGACTAAAGTGTCAAATTATGTAATTCCAAGGAATTTGAAAAATAAGATAGTGGCTCTTCCATTGTCTTATGAATGAGCAGAAGTAAAATTCTCATAAATGAATGACACAGTATTTCTCATAAATTTGAGACCTGTTGGAGCTTGTTAAAGAATGAATGGCGGGGTGCTTCTGAAACATTAGTGGACATAGGTCCACTGGGAGTCCTGTTAAAATGCAGATTCTGAATTAGTAGGTCTGGGGTGGGGCCTGGGAGTCCGCAATTCTATCAAGCTCCCCATGAGGAGCTGAGTTTTGAGTATAAAGGACCTAGTGACTAAATGAGCCAAATGAAAATAGTCAAACCCAGCAATGTATCAGTTTGTTTTAATAACATTTGTGTATTTTGAGGCTAGATGGTGGCTTAGCATTATATGCTAACGTATGTTCGTCCATCAGTTGCTTCACAAATGTTAACACCTCTTCCCTTACATTCCTCCACATCCAAACCTCCCAACCTATGACAACTGCCCGATCATTTCCTACAGTTAGATTTCATTCTGTGGGAAGATCAAGATCATCAAAGACATTCTTTCTTGTATTTTGACTTCCTCCCCCCAGCAAAATCAGCACTCAATAAAAGCTTAAGTAATTTTTCATCTTTTTAGAAATCACTGCTCATTTTTCCATGAGTACAAACCCTCTGGATTTAGCCTCGAGTTCCCTCTGAAGGACTGACGAAGGAGAAAGGGGAGTACTTTCAACAGATCTGTGTTGGACGGGACAGGAATCTTCTCTTGCTGCTATCTCCCCACCGTCACTCACGTGCGTTACCCAGTTAGCAGTCACGTGTCGATCTGCACCTTAGCCCTGTGGCATTTCAATCCACAATATGGAATCAGAGAGTCCAGTGTTGGAGTTCAGGCTCTACAACTCATTGGTACTCAGAACTTGGACAAATACCTTTACCTCCTTAAGTCTCAATTTCCTCAACAGTAAAATCAAACAACAAACTTCTGAGTTTTTCAAATGATGTTTAAATGAGATAATGCATATAAGGCATTTTGCACCATGTCTGGCACATAATCATTGTTTAAAACATTAGCTATAATTATCATTAGAAAGTCTAGATTGAGAAGTCCTTAGGAAGAGAGAGAGAAAAATCATAAATTATATCAAGACTCCAACCACTAATAAGAAAATTAGGCTTTCTGGAGAGAGTACTTAAAACCGTCAGTCCATTTGGGGATAGAACTGGTTCTTCTCATAAAAAGACTCATCAGGTGGGCACTGTGATAAGTTGATGGCGTGTAGAGCCTCACTGGAAAGATTTATATGACTTCCCCAGGCAATCAGAACTGAGAGGGGAATTCAGCCCCTTACACCTCCCAATCCCTCAGGTCCCCACAGCCTTCACCTCCTTTCTTACCCAGTTTCGAATCAGTGGTCTGTCATCTCAATCACACGTTTCCATAACCCACCATCCCTTTATATCACTGCAATGGCCTGGCAAGAAACCCCTTGCTGAGTAAATACAACTGCCTGCGTTCCTTGCATCCATGCTACTGTGGCTGATGAGCCACAGAGAAAATCTCCCAGCCCATGGATGCGGCCACCAATCTTCATGAGCTCCAGCCTCCTGGGGCTTCCATGCCACCTGGCCATCATCCCATGTTTCCCTAGATGACCTTGTCCATTGTCCACAGAATCAATGTCAAACTTTCCCCACTCATTTCAAACATGTGTTTCCACCTCCTCATCACTCTCAGCAGCAGACCTCACCTCCTACTTCAGATGATAGTAGAAGCCACCAGACATGAGCTTCCTCAGCTCTTCTTGCTACCCTACTCACAACCAACCACAAGGAAGATGTGTTTCTCCTTTCCAAGACTAGTCCCTCCACCTGTTCTCTGCATCCTGTCTTCTCTTGTCTCTTTCAAGCTGGTCTCCTTTTTTCCCTCATATCTTCTCTCCATTTCTCCTCTTCTACTGACTTTTCCTTTCAGCATATTCAAATCTCTCCCACCTTAGAAACAAAAATATGGGCCGACCCCATGGCCTAGTGTTTAAGTTTGGCATGTTCTGCTTCTGCAGCCCAGGTTCGGTTCCCAGGCACGGACCTACACCACTCATCAGCAGCCATGCTATGGTGGTGACCCACATACAAAATAGAGGAAGACTGGCACAGATGTTAGCTCAGGGACAATCTTCCTCAAGCCAAAAAAAAAAAAAAAAGGAATATTGGCAATAGTTGTTAGCTCAGGGCGAATCTTCCTCAGCAAAAAAAAACAAAACAAAAATACAACAACCCTTCCAATGTCGATTATAGATAATAATTCTTAGTCCTTCCAAAGTTGATTATAGATAACAATCCTTGGTCCTTTTCTTGCCTTTCTCTTCTCCAGCTTCCTCCTCCTTCCATCCCTGTTGAATCTGAACTCCGCTTACAGACTCACTTTGGCTTTTGTTGGTTGTCACAGCAGACACACTTTTTGAGCTTTGACACCTCCCCTCTGTATTAGTTTTCTATTGGTACTGAAACACATTACCAGAAACATAGTGACTTAACGCCCATTTATTAGCTCACAGTTCCATAGGTTAGAAGTCCAAAATGGGTCTCATTGGGCTAAAATCAAGCTGTCAGTAGAGATGTGGTTTTTACTGAAGACTTCAGGTTGTGGGCCTGAGGGTCCCCCTTTCCTTATGACTGTCAGCTGGGGCTTCCCATAGCTCCTAGAGGCCTCTCTGCAGTCCTAGTACGTGGGCCCCTACGTCTCAGCACCAGCAATGGTGCTTCAAACCCTCCTTCACCCTTGGAATCTCTCTTCTGCCTTCCTCTTCTGTTTTTAAGGTCTCCTGTGATACATTGGCCCACCCAGATAATCCAGGATAATCTCCCTATTTTAAGGTCAGCTGATTAGTAACCTTAATTGCATCTGCATAGTCCCTTCACAGCACTACCTACAGCAGTGCTTGATTGAATAATCAGGGGACAGGAATCTTGGGGGTGGAGACACCTTTAGAATTCTGCCTATCATGTCCTCATTTTATAAATGCAATTCAGTACAATTTAAATTACTCGTGCAAAATACAACAAAAAATTGACAAATGTTAGCAGCCAATTTAACCTCAGATAATGGTGTGAGGTAATTTTCAGATAATAATGTGAAATGATGATGGGAATGATGATTATTTCTGTGCTAATCAATTCCAGTGTTTTTTAGCAGTGGGAGAACTCCACACCATACGTGTTGTCCTATGTGAATTTGAAATAATGTCCTATGTGTCTATGATACCTGTATTCAAAGAGCAGTCTACAGTCATTTAATTTGATTTGTAATTTTGGTGTGATTTTTATGGAGATAATGACAACATATCTGTTGAGTGTTTGAGAAGAGAGGTGGGAAGAAATCCTGGAGTGATGCCCTTTATGAGGCAGTATTGGATGCTTTAGACTCCGGCTTGGCTCCAAATCTTGATTCTACTGCCTAATACTCACATGATCTCAGGCAAGTTCCTTAGGTTCTCTGTGCCTGAGTTTTCCCCATCTGTAAAATAACGATAATCAATAATAACCCCAACCCCGTGTCTTGGTGTGAAGATTAAATGAGGAAGTGCATGGTTAGATTACTTAGTAATTAGGAAGATTGGGACGTACATAGATTGCACCAAGTTCCAGGTATGAATTCAATTAATGTCAACATCAGAGTAAATATAATTCCCAATTTTTCAAGAGCAGTACAGGAAACAGAGCTCAGATATCCTCTTTGCTAGTTCAAAACTGTCTACTAGGCACATTTGCTGCCAGCCCAGACAGCACATCAACCACACACACACATGTATCAGTCAACCGTCACTCATGAGCACATCAGCCATCAGTCATACGTGTATTTCAGAATCACATCTACATGGAAGTAGGTGCCATCACATAGAATATCTCCTCTCACGGAAATGATAAATTTTGCTGCTTTTACCTGTAATAACACAATATTACAGTGCTTACCATAAATAATTTGAAAAAGATACTTAAAATATCAAATTACTAAAATTGCTTGAGGAAAAATTTGATAGTATGCCAGATAAACTCATTCAGAAGAGACAGCTAAAGTTTTACATTTTGAAAGGAAATGTTTCAAATCAAGCAATGTTTTTAAAGAAAATGTCTCCTTTCGCAGGGTAGGCTATAGCCTCAAGGATCTCAAATTTCTTTTCAACAGTTTAAATTTCAGTCTAGTAATTATATGTGT